TAGTCGATCCCACTTAAAGTTAAATGCAAAACTAGGCTAATGGGAGGGGGATAGGCGTCATATGCTAAATAACAGCGCCCGTGCGGAGACAGGTGTTCGTGACGAGCAGGTGGACATCGATCGCACATGCGCCGCCCCGACATTCCTTTCGGGTTATCTGACTTGCGTGGTCGACTGACTAACGAGTGCTCGCTGGGGTTTTTCAATGCTCGGGGCACAGCAAAGTTGATTAGGTGGATTGGATTAATGAGTTGTGTCGCCGGCCGATGTGAAGCACTTTGCGCGAATTATTTCAGTGCGATATTTTCGAGGGAACAAGTTTTTCTGCCAAAAAGTTTGTTGTAAAAATTTTGCTCGCGGATAATTATTCAGATCTTGAAGTAGTTGAAATGCCCGCTGCGTATGCATATTATGAAAATTGATGTTATTATAGTTCGGAGTTGACCAGAGGAGATTCCAGAATTATGCAAATTGAAGAATAATTGGAGAAGAGTAATTGTGACAGAGAATTCTTGCAAAAGAAAAACTCAGTCTATCAACAGCAAGAGGATTTCCCTTTATCAACGATGCCTAGAAGGTATGTATAGTTTTATTAATATAATATGGACTACGAATTTCAAGGTAAAATCAGATTCGTTTTCGTCATTATTTTTTCCAACACGTTTTGATTTTCGGTTAAAAAAAAATGTTCCTCGTGTATAAATCACCGAAGAATGTTGTGACCTGCTTTTATATGACAGAATTTCGCACGCCACTCTGTGACCTGTGTTTCCTCCATGCGTGACCTCGCTTTCTAATTGCTAGGAAATGATATAGGAAGAAATTACATCTGGTGGTACATTCATCATCGATTAAAAAAAAAACGTAACTTGTTATTCTTATTCTCAGTGACGAAGATAATTGCCCAGTATCGTAATCATATTAGGGCAATATTTGTTTACATCACGCGTTATTGCATCACAATGACATGTTACCCCCTTATCTCCTACGTCCTTATCAAAGGTATTTAAAAATCCAAAAATCTTTACGTATAGCTTCCTCTTACGATTCCCCCCAACCCTTCCCCCACCCCCCACCGCCCCCCGATCCTTCCTATCAGCTCTTAATTCGAAATAAATAAATAAACTACGTGACTGACAGCGGCAATGTAAGTAAGTGCACGCTCGTATCCCCGTGGGCGGCCGTGACAATGAGATGGCGTGCAGCTGCGGCCGCTGTCTCAGGTGACCTGCTTCCTCGCGCGTGATTCATCGGCCATCGATCGTGACACAACAGCTGGGTCCCCGGGCTGGCCGGAAATACATCAAACACGAATGCATAACGATATCGGTTCAGAATATATATATATATATATATATATATATATATATATATATATATATATATATATATATATATATATATATGCATACATATATATATGTATATATATATATGCATGTATGTATGTATGTGTGTGTATGTGTGTGTTTGCGTGCGTACGTGCGTATGTGTGTGAGTGTGCGTATGTGTGTGAGTGTGTGTGTGTGTGTGTGTGTGTGTGTGTGTGTGTGTGTGTGTGTGTGTGTGTGTGTGTGTGTGGTGTGTGTGTGTGTGTGTGTGTGTGTGTGTGCGTGTGTGTGTGAGTCCGTGCGTGCGCCCGTGCATGTGTGTATGTGTGTGTGTATGTGTGTGTGTGTGTGTGTGTGTGTGTGTGTGTGTGTGTGTGTGTGTGTGTGTGTGTGTGTGTGTGTGTGTGTGTGTGTGCGTGTGTGTGTGAGTCCGTGCGTGCGCCCGTGCATGTGTGTATGTGTGTATGTGTGTGTGTGTGTGTGTGTGTGTGTGTGTGTGTGTGTGTGTGTGTGTAGAGAGAGAGAGAGAGAGAGAGAGAGAGAGAGAGAGAGAGAGAGAGAGAGAGAGAGAGAGAGAGAGAGAGAGAGAGAGAGAAAGAGAGAATACTTCATTACAATGAGTGGCTGGCATTAACTAATTGTGTTATGCAACATTACAACCTGCAGCTTATGATAAGATGAAAATAACCAGTCTGACCCACATGTTAGACGAAATGACTGTTGAATCCAAACTAAATATTATTCTCGAGAAGAAATAGTACTTTCAAATATTAGGGAAAGAAAGAAAATAAGTGGTAACCCTTTCGATAAATGATCTCAAAAATATTAAATTTCAAAACACAGACGTTCAATCATTTGATAAGGACAGAAACTTAATAAAATAGAGTAAACAGAATGAATAATAAATGGTTTCCCATGAAACTAACTTTCATAAACAAAGTATGCTTTTCCGAGGGGAGGAGCAAAGAGAAATCTTCTTACAGTATGAGGAAAGCAGAGAAAATATATAGACTATAGTATTACACACTATATAGTTCCTGATTTCCCCGAGCCAGGAGGCTGGTTGAGAAATCAGACGCTACAAAGTGCATGGCGCCAGCAGTCGCATACCAGGGTTAGATAAAAAAAAAAATTAAAGACTTATGCTTGCCATTCATCCTTTCCTGCCGAAGAGGAATGTGCCATCGAATCCTCACACCTGTTCCAGGGTGCCCATATGTAACCATGTGGCTCCGAACACTTGCTATGGGGCCTCCCTGCGACAATATGACTCCAAGAAGCTGCTGCAAACAGCCTTTCTTAACCACGTAGATTCAAAACCAAGCATCCCACATACAACCGCATGGCATATAGCCTGGACCAGATGTCCGTAATTGTACATCTAACAACTGCCTGTACCCGCGGGGCATTTTAAACTTAACCCTGCAATCCACCCGTAGCTGCGTGGCTTTGAGCACTTTCCCCAGGGCTTCTGGTCGTAACTGCATGGCTCAAAGTACTGGTCCGCCCGTAATGGTATGGTTACAAGCAGGTCTGTCGGATCCGGGTTCATATAGACTTTGATTGGGTCAGTTTTGCAGGCTACCAAAGACACATAGTACTTTGAAATTTTGAAATAAACTTGAAAACTGCACAGATATACACACATTCCTTACTACAGAGATAACTTCCTGTTGCTGTACAATATCTTTATAAACGATACAGAGGCGACTGATTTAATCACGCCTTCAATTGCCAGGGCATATTTCTAAGGCTAGAAAACTGTAATTTGTATTGCATTGCTTACCTTCTGATTGTGGAGTAATAATGATAAAAAATATAGTGATAACAACTATAATGGAAATGACATCAGCTGCAAAATTTAACAACAATAGCAGTCATTTAAAGGTATACATTTAAAAGCAGACCGGTAGAGAATATTTACATGTGAGAAGCGTATGGAGAAAAACTCCAATACTTTATAATGGATTCTGCTTATTAATGCTTTCCGTCACCAAAGCCCATTCTCACTGTTATTCCGGTAACAACGTCAATATAACCTTATAAGCCAAAGATAGAGAGAACAGAAAATTGACGAGATCTTACTTGTATAGATCTTGGCTAAAGTTTATCCATTCTGCACATATGACGTCACCTGGCTCATGAAAGAAGAAACTGCGTCAAGGCATTGGGTACAAGAAACTTATATCCTGTTCTATATACCACACAAGAATGTTTTTTATAACTGCTTTATATCTGGATGTTAGTGACTGTGACCCTACCTCCAAGCACCCCTTTTAAAGGGGCGGTCTTGTTTATCTCTGGATCCCCATAGAAACGGATACTTTTCACCAGACTGAAATTCCCGACTTATTATAGTATAGAGCCAAAACCACTTTGTTGGTATGATTAGTAGTATGATTGTAGTATGATTACTTGTAAGCTCATTGTCCAGCCAGACAGTCATTTGACCAACGAATACACCCACTGTAGACACGTAACTCATTTCGAAAGTTGTTTATTCCTTGGTGGACAAATTGAGAACCAGAGAACCATCATGGAATACCATTCACGGAGATTATGATAGCAGAAATGTAAAGGACCAATAATGGGTGGATTTAGTAAGGAATATCGTTATGCCCATGATGTAATCTTAGGGCTGAGAGGATTGTGTCATGATCGACAAGGGCTGATACTTGATTTGTCGAATTTTCTTTTTTCTGTTAAAATATCGGATATCGAGGCCGGAAGGCGTATGATAATCCAGTTAGACTCGTAATTTCAGTAATAACATTTGCTTCTCATCACCCTTTCAACATTAACATTGTTATCAATTCGTAATTACTTTCGTCATGCACCCTGAATCACATCATTACCGACATTACGTGACCAGTAACAAGTGAATAAACAGTTTTTAAGACCCTGCCTTTGCAAATCTCACCGACGTGACCTGAACTAACGTGACCACTGCAGCCCTAGCCCTCGCCAGACAAAGCTAGTGCCTGTCCAAGGATCCGTAGCCACCCGCGACCAGTGTGACCGCTGCCTAAATAACCGCGTGGCTCCGGTTTGGATCTAAATCCGTGAGTCGGTCGGCCGGGCCAGCGGCGGAGGCGGCGGTGGCGGAGGCGGCCCGGGAGGAACGTAATCGTGACATTTTTTTATCTCTCTTTTGTGCCGACAGATCGTTTGCCGGCTGGGCGTTTCTCTTTTTATTTCTTTATTTGTCGGGGTTTTCAAATTTCTCTATGTTATTAGTGGACATTTGCCTGAATGAAAATATATTTTGAACATGGACACATCCATACATACATATATACATACATACATATAACTATCCATCTATCTATACACCCGCAAACACACACACACACACACATACATACACACATACACACACACATATATATACAGATATAATATATATATATATATATATATATATATATATGTGTGTGTGTGTGTGTGTGTGTGTGTGTGTGAGTATATATATATATATATATAGATATATATATATATATATATATATATATATATATATATATATATATATATTGTGTATGTGCGTGTGCATCTATCTATATGAATATTATACATATATGTATATGTATGTATGCATGTACATTTGTGCGTTCGTGCGTGTGTGTGTGCGTGTGTGTGTGTACACATGTATATATGCACATATATATGCATATATATCTGTATATATGTGTATATGTATATATGTATGTATATATTTATACATATACATACACACACACACACACACACACACACACACACACACACACACACACACACATACATATATATACGTATGTATATATATATATATATATATATATATATATATATATATATATATATACATAAATATATGTATATGTATATACATGATTGTGTGTGTGTGTGTGTGTGTGTGTGTATGTACATAAGATTATACATATGTATGTCTACATGCCTATACACATACACAGACGCGCGCGCCTCTGATGTGCATGTGTAAGCACAATCCATTCGTCAGATACAATTCGCTACTCTATCGTTCCCCGGCGCCTTGGCCCCCCAGCATCAAGCCGGAAAGGCGGCCGAGGGAGCGGCGCTGCGGCCACAGCGAGAAAAAGCAAGAAAGCGGAAAACTCTGCATGCCGGAAGTGGCAATGGGAGTCGGTGGCATCCTCTTCTGGCGGTTCTGAAGGACGTGAGAGTTCCTGTGCACTGAGGATTTAGAGGAGTCGACTGGACGGCTGAGACGCGTTCGTGCATGTGTGCATGACGCTCAAGGAGAACACTTTATTGCATGAATGAGGGCGCGGTGGGGCATGGCGCGGAAGGAGCTCGCGCCCTCGGCCTCTGCAAACGCTCCCACATTCATGAGTTGGTTGGGGTAAAGCGAGACGCTGGTGGCTGCTGAGGCACGGAGATCCTTCTGGACAGGCAACTTCCGAGTCAAAAAAAAGAATGAAATAATAAAAGAAAAACATAATAAACAAAAATGAAAGTGATGATAATAATAAAAATAAAAGAATAAGAACAAAAAGAGGACACACGAACACAACGTCACTCGTGTTACGACTAGCTATCATAGATCGTTACTTCATTTTAGCAGCGATGATATGATAAAGATGCAGAGTGTCCGTTGTAAGGGTTTATTTATATCTGCTAAGGGTTATCTCAAACATGCGATGTGGAGTTACCAAAGAACATAGCCGAAGGGTTTAACTTCACGGTTTGCATCGAAAAGAGAGAAAAAACAGGGAGTAAAACGGACGCATGTCTCTGAGCTCGATCGTAATACGGATAATAAGCAGGCTACTCATGTGTCGTCTCCTTAACTGCCGTTGGACAGCCCTCGCTCCCTCTCAACCGGACCCGACACGACGTGAATTCATACCCGTCCTTTTGCTGCAGATCTTGATGATGTTGGATCCTGTTCCTTGCAATACGGCAGTGTGCGTGTGTTAATGAATTATACAGTTTTTTATATGATTTGATTTACCATGTGTATGGGAAGTGATGGGACACAACGTGAAAAAAGTGTACAATAACTAGTTTTAATGCAGCGTGGTTGGTCGTTATACTACTCTTGATATTCAAACTTGGTGTAACAAATAATACGCAGCCATTATATCTATTGATAAGGGTACTTTTGAATAACCGTGCGATGTTTACATTCGGTTAACAGAACAATCAATGTAATGTCAGAATCCAGTGAAACATATCCATTGCTTATCTTAAATCAACGTAATATTTATAAAAGCTTTGACTAGCTGGCTTAACATGTTGTATAGCTGCAACCATTCTAACTTCAATATGTTGCATTCAGACAAAAAGAAGCTGGTAAGTAAATAGTGGATAGATAGACTGTAAAAACATGCCCATCCACAAATACACACACACACACACACACACACACACACACACACACACACACACACACACACACATACACACACACACACACACACACACACACACACACACACACACACACACACACACACACACACACACATACACACACGCACGCACACATGCACACACACACACACACACACACACATACATACATACATACATACATACATACACACGCATACATATCTCTCTGTTTATCTATCTATTTATCTCTCTCTCTCTAATATATATATGTATATATATATATATATATATATATATATATATATATATATATATATATATATATATATATAGCCTATGTATCAAACAAGTGTGTGTTTATGTGTGTGTGTGTGTGTGCATGTATGCGTGCGTGTGTGTTGGTGTTCTTACCTAGTTGTTTCAATACGGGAGAAGAGCTAAGCTCAGTCGGTCCCGTCTGCTATATTTAAATTATCATATAACTTTTTAAATTGATGTCCCAATTTTGGCACACACGTTATTTGGAAGATTGCTCCATGTTTCAATAGTTCTGTTTGGTAAACTGAACTTCTTGATATCGAGTGTGTGTGTGTGTGCGTGCGTGCGTGTGTGTGAGTGCGTGTGTGTGTGTGTATGTGCGTGTATGCATGCGTGTGAGTGTGTGTGTGTGTGTGCGTGTCTATATCTGCCTATGTATGTATATAGATAGGCTGGTTGATTGACCAATGGGCAGATATATAGATACGTTCACAAATACACACGTACACACAAAAACAAACACTCACACGCACACATATATGTTATTTAT